GTGTAAGGTGAAAAAAGTATATGTTAAATTGTATAACTCAATGGACATTCTTTCCTTCTTTTGCCAAGTTTCAAAACATTTACCATTTAACCAAAAAAAAAAAAAAAAATCAATAAAACCTGATGTCCTGGTTGGGAAACTCTCTTCTCATGTGATGCAATGTGTTGTCTAAACACATGCAAGTCCAAACTAAGATGATGAAAACGCTGGTCCTTGCAAAATCAAGAACTATTACAGGACATGCCTACTGTTTAGAGATTGTTTACCTTATGATATCACATTTCCACTGTTCTCCTTCAGGACAGAAACTGCTTACACCTTCACGAAAGAGAAGCACACGCTGCTCCGTTAATGCCCAAATTATATTATTTCTGGCTGAAATCTGTGATAGTTGATACGGACAGTCTACTTTTATTGCCCTGGCACAGGGACGATCCACGCTGAGGCCTTCAAGTAAAATACAGAAAAGCAATACGTGTGTCACTTTTCTAGTTTTTGAGTTTAGTTTTATTTCCTTTCTATATAATTTATAATCTACCATATTTTTCACTCCATAAGACGCACCTAGGTTTAGAGGAGGAAAACAAGGAAAAAAAAAAATCAGGCAGAGCCTGAGAGGACCACAGATAGGTGCCCTCTCATGTGCCAGCTCTGCCTATTGATTCCTGCACTGCGGAAAAGAGACAGAAGAGGCGGGCAATGACAAAGACAGAAGAGGCGGGGTTCAGCACTGTAAAAGGATCCCACCGCTATGGCTCGGCTGCTATTCACCAAAGGACCAGCACCGTTTCCACCCACTTTGGGGGGGGGGGGGAAGTGCATCTTATGGAGCGAAAAATACAGTAATTAGAAAGATAGAGCTGCCTCTGTTTTATATATTATTATATTTGACCTATACCCTATACCAGTGATGGCTAACCTTTTTGCCATCATGTGCCAAAAGTGGGCGGAGTGAAGGGGGGTTGCATGCGTGCATGCCCATACCCATGATTCAATGCACCCTGCCTCCCCGCGCATGAGTGCGCGACCCCCCCGTGCTCTCATTTTTGGCACGCGATGGCAGTGGGCCCAGTACAGGGGCGGGTTTTAAAACCCGTTGCTACCGGTTTGCTCATGGGTGTGCACACACTCACGTGCACAACACTTCTGCACATCCGCAGAAGCATCCGGGTGGGTGGGCGGAACCTTCCACCACCGCCGCTACCGATTCACCCGATCCGGGGCGAATCAGTAGCAACCCATCACTGCCCTGATAGGCCTGTTTTTTGCCCTCCAGAGGCTTTCTAGGAGCCTTGGGAGGGTGAAAACGGCCTCCCCCACCCCCCTGGAGGCCCTCCGGAAGCCAGAAACGGCCCATTTCCCAAGGGCCTGGAAGGCCTGAAAACCAGCTGGCTGGTGCGCACATTCGGGCTGGAGCTGAGCTATGGCAACATTTGCATGCCTGCAGATATGGCTCCACATGCCATCTGTGGCACGTGTGCCATAGGTTTGCCATCATGGCCCTATACCTTTAACATATTTCTCTACTCTGTGTAGCAATAATTATTTTCAATTGTTATCCAGTTCATTCAGTTACTTAAGATTGTTTGAGAATCAATACAACGGGAAAGTACTGCAGGATAAAACTAATACCTTTATAATTACCATTTACAAGCAAAGAACCATGGTTTTGGCCAGGGTTAAAATGCAGTACCTATATTTATAAAGCCCTAATCTTAAACTCCTAGGTTTCTCTTCAATGTGCTTTTTCCTAGATCTGGATATATCATGCCCTGTTGAAAGTATACTTAAATGTATTTCTATACAAATGCATACACGTTATACCTATATCTATATTAAGAATTTTTAAACAGTATAGAGAAAGCAGCAAAGCAACATACACTATTCCCATTAGCACTGTTACAAACTTCTAAGCAGCAGGAATAAAAGATTTTACACTTGGGTAGGGCTAAGATCTGGAAATATTTTGCCACTGAATTTGGCCACTGTATGTGATCAAATATTAGACCCTGTATAATTACTGTAGCACATATGTACTGCCACAGCAGGGGCAAAATATATAATCCCCTCCTCCTAAATTTCATTGCAATCTTTGGTAGAGCTTCCAACAGTGAGATTAAATTTCTCAGGGAGAGGGGAGGCATAGTTGGCCAGACATCTAAGAATTCCTGCAGGACAAAAACATACTATATAACAAATCAAAATACTTGCTGTGAGAGCCAGTAGTAGCTCACAGAAAAAAGCCAGCTATTCAATCATTACAACCATATTTTTTGTTATAATAAAGTACACAAGTAAATGCAAAATAATAATCAACACCTAGGTTTTGAAATTCTAAAAATGTCAGAATATTTTTTTTCTAATTAATAAGAGAAAAGTCATTCTGTGTTAAATACAAAGAGAGCTTTGTATTTAACAACTAAAAGGCTTTTCTCTTATTGATTAGAAATTAAAAATTATTATTAACAAGGAAATTACTTTTCCTATTGAGGCTGATACTATTTATTTATTTATAATTTCTATTTCTACGTCTGCCCACTCAGGCACAAATTCCTTCCACTGCTGAATTACGTATCATCAAATCATGAAAACTGTGAACACAAATAGATACTTCCATGTATTTGCTTGCTCATTGGTATGACACAGCACCATGAATACTGGCTGGTTCCATGCTTGCTAAGAATGAAACCCTGTTAACTGTATGCAGGGAAGAAAATTTTGCTGATTCCCCTTTGTGTGTGCAGCCTTGTATGTTGCCTGAAAACCAGTCTACTAGGTAAGAGAATCTTACAGCACTGTGTGACAAGTAGGTTGATTCAAAACCATTGATTTTTACAGTATTGTTATTTAATACTAAGGCAGTTTAAACATTTTCCTAAATATATAAATAATGCTGTCTCCTACCCTTCAACAAATATGTTTGTTGGATCAGTCATTTGACAGACAAAACATTTTTAAAGGACTCCTTCCATTGTAGACCAGCAAATTTCAAGCCAATAAACCCATAAAAAGACTTTAAACTAAAACTATTTGACATGGTTAAATCAAACAGCAGCAGGCAATTAATAATTTCTATTTGGTTTTAGTTTTCAAAACTCTCTTTCAGGAAACACTTTTATTAGCATTAATATTTTTTGCATTAACTTGTAACAACATTGTGTAGAGTGTTTTAGATTGTAGTGCAAATGAACACAACCTACCTATCACGTCGTAACAGAATTGCAACTGGATTTCACAGTGTAATCAACCCATTGTAGGAGAAGATTCATGATGGCAACAAAACGTCTTTCAAGAAAAACTGTCTATTTGCTTGCTTGGAATTTTCACTGAAAAACCTCCACTAATTTTTAAAGCATTCTCTCATAATGTAATTTAGTAAGCAGGTAGTTCCAGAAGAAAAATAAAAACTAGCTTAAGTACCTGTCTGTAGATACAGATCACCATTTGTTCGAATTATCCAGGCTGTGTCATCACTCAAGGATACAAATGCTGCTTGAGGTAAAGCTTCATACCAGTGACGTTTCCCTCTGATAGTTACTTTGCCACAGGCAAAAGCTTTATTGGTTTTTTGCTCAATCTTCCATAGAAGAGTCCCTATGGAAAAAACCTCACATAAATAAATTATTCACAAGTGATCACCTTTAAATCTAATGAATTTCTTGTTTGTTAGCAGCAGCAATTTTAAAGCCTAAGGCAGTCTTCATCAACCTGGGGATGGTCTGACCACCATGGTGGTGGGGACAAGGAGATGGGAATATGGAAATGACACCCCATGCATTATTGTGGAATGCAGTAATTTATGAAGGACACATACAAGGTTAGGTTCTTTAGAGGAACAGTCACAAGATAGTTGTAGAGTTTTAAAAATCCAACTCAAAACATGAAAAATGCCAGATCACGGTAAGTGATCTCAAGTGTTAAGCCAATGAATAAAATCACCCTACAAGCATTCTTTATAGGACAACCACTGCAAATAAGATATCTCTCTGGTCATTCTTATTTCCAGAATTCAACATCAAGGAAGGTCCAATATAATGAATACGAAGAAGTAACAAGCAAATCATGTAGTATTCCTTCCTCCTCCAAATAATTTTTCATTTATGTCATGCCTTTTAAACTGCAAGCCTAAAGCACTGCCCTATTGCTTTCTCTTTTTGCATGCAAATAAAATGTAAAGATTAGAAATAAGCAATCTTTTCAGGAATGAGGTGATCCTACAATAGAATCATTGTATCTATTGTAGCTGAGTGAATAGCTACTTCTAAATAGGGAATAATTTGTTCCAACAATCACCTAAGATAGTTACAGAGTTTCCTTGGTAATAAACAGACCTTTCATAAGAGACTTAGTTTCTCTACCTGATGGCACTGACATTGATGATTAGAGAGGTTGACACAATATTTGTCAAATAAGAAGTACAAAATAGACCTACAGTACTAGCCAGGCATGGTTCATTAGGAAAGCCTGAAAGCTAAGGAAAATGATGGGACATGGACATAATAGATTTACTCAGAGAGGACAAAGGAAAGAAAAATAATATAAAAGATTATAATGATTGCTCCTGATTTATTTCTTGACTGATCATGAACAGACAGAAGAGCACTGTTGACATATGAAGTATCCAAGCTTTGGTTATGGATTTAAGGGATGGGGAAAATCCTCAAGGTCAAAACCACAACAATCTGGTGTAAAAAGAGGTGTAAAGGCAGTTTACATATTTAACTCGACCATTTTCAGGACCAGGAATCAGAATGTTACAGAATGTTTGTTAATAAAAATACTAGAATATATCTTTCTACTACTTCACTTCTTTTTGTGGGCAATGAGAAGTTTTCTAAGAGGACGATCAATATATATCTGCTATCTGAAGTAAAACAGTTGAAAATGACATTTCTACAAAATATAGTTTGAAATCCATTCCTGTAGAGCCTACGATATTTTGATGTGCCCATAACAATTGAATAAATAATAAATGCATTCAAACCATTTTTCTACCCTAGGAAAAATAGGCTAAAAATGCAAATCTAACTAACCTGAAGGAGAGACTGCCATCTGCTGGACGTTATCTTCAAACTTCTGCCAACGCAACCCAGAACTAGGTAATGCACTACAATACAGGCTACCTTTGTAATCCAAGCACCAAATGTATTTATTGGAGACAACTAGGCTCAGTATTCCATAGCCAGGACCTGCATATCCCATCCAGCTTTCTGCAAACTAAAGACTGAAGAGTTAGAATAAGCATAATATATCTTCATGATATATGAAGCTGCCTAATCTTGAAATTATATAAGGGCTTGTGTTTTTAGCATATTTGACAAATGTATGTTTTAAATGTTCAATAAAGATTATTGGATGACTGTTGCAAAGCAGGCAGCTTAAATATCTCTAGTAATGGGTGTTCAATTTATTTGGTGTGAATTTCCCAGGTTTATCATTAACCCCCAGCGAAAGTCATAGCTTATACAATATTCTAAATTCTGAATTCAGTTTGATGATTGAGAATATTCTGGAAATCTCAATTAAATAGTGAGCCAGAAAAATAGTTATAGTCGTCAACTTATGACCACAGTTGAGCCCAAAATTTCTGTTGCTAAGCAAGGTAATTGTTAAGTGAATTTTGCCCCATTTTATGACATTTCTTGCCATAGTTGTTAACAGAATCACTGCAGTTGTTAAGTTAGTAACACAGTTGTTAAGTGAATCTGGCTTCCTCATTGACTTTGCTTGTCAGGTCACAAAAAGTGATTATGTGACCCTGGGATACTGCAACCGTCCTAAATATGAGTCAGTTGCTAAGCGTCTGAATTTTGATCACGTGATCATGGGGATGCTGCAATGGTTGAAAGTGTGAAAAAATGCCCATGTCACTTTTCTCCATGCTGTTGTATCTTTGAACTGTCACTAACTGAACTGCTGTAAGTTGAGGACTACCTATATTCTAGTAAAATTATGGCACAATAATGAATTAAATTAATACTTTTAAATAGCCAAGAGAAGAAGAGAATTGTTCGTGACCAAACTGTCACCATCTCCGTCATTGTCTCTTCTCATTCTCCTTCCTGTTTCTTAACAAAAGCAAGCAAAGTATTCTTGCTATAATTTGAGAGTCTGATTGCAATTTTTTTTAAATGCAGTTTTTCGTGAAACAATTCTCAACTAGCTTACCAGTAAATCACTCAGCAATACATCAAGGACTAGTTCTGATTACTTTAAACAGAGATACCTATTGGAAAACAGCATGCCCATGAAAACTCTCATCTGTTTTCAGATCCCCTGCTCCACCCAATTTAATTTTAATACACTTTCAATTCAAATAATTAAATGGGAATCTGGCATGCTGAAAGTAAAGCGTCAGCCTCCAGTATCATCATTTCCAAGAAAGTTTACTCTCTCTAGGATTCTTAGAAAATAAAATGAGTACTGCAGCGTAGTACTTGATTTGGATGTATGGCCCCTACCCAGAAAAAAAGACAATAATTTTGGAGGGGATATAAGGCACAACTTTCCCAGTTTGCTTTCCCACCTGCTTTCAACACTTCAAATATGCCTGTCAGCTGAAAAAAATTGAATGAAAAGATGTAAAAAATATAGTCATTCATTAAACTTTAAAAACATATGTGGAATTCAATTCATAAAGAAAGGCTTTCCTATTTCTCCTGCAATATTTCAGATTCTTTTCAAAAACAACACTTCTGCAGGAGAACAATATGAATGTGGAAAGGTGTTCAACAAGAGTGGGGAAACTGAAGGAAAAGGTAATGTGAATGCAGGTGTGTTGCAGTTAGGTTAGAGAGACATGTCACAATGGTATTCCCAAGAATATACCTGATCAGATTTTGAAAGCATCTCCTTCTCAACATTTGACCTGACTTTATCCCGTGGAAGATGGTAAGCTCCCATTTCTGTCACATTTGTCTCCGAAGACGAATAAATCAAGCCATGCCCATAGATATCCTCTTCATCACTTGATGCGTATCTCTCAGCTCTAGCACTGTGAGACTTACTCATCCATTCACTGGCATTGTCAGTGATGACGCCTTCTTTGAAATTCTGTCCAGGTAGCATCCTCTCTTGAGGATTTCTTTCTTTTTCAGAAACAGCACGATAATGCTCAGGATTCTCAGGGACTGTGAATTGTAAAGATGGTTGCTGCTCCATTACCTCAGCAACTTCACTCTGAACAAACAATTCATCGGTGCAAAAAGGAGTGTTCCTATTTACAGATGTTCCTTTTGCAGAGTTGGTCTCTTCTAGGGAAGCCGAAGTATCCAGCAGACGTAATTCATCTAAAGTGCATTCCGTTTTACATAGGAGAGGAAAATGGTCTTCATTTGGGAGTATCTGTTTTGGGCTGGTTTCTATTTTTTCAGACAGGGGTTTCCAGTTGCGTTCACTATCATCACTACCCATTTTATTTTCCACAACAAGCAAGCAAGAATTCATAACAGGTGATGCATCTTCTTCATTCTTATAATTAGAAAGTTTTAGCAGTTCTAGTGCCTCCTTGTTGTCATCAGGTGTTAGAGCAACTATCGACTCCAGAGACTGAAGTATACTGAATGTTTCAGTATCGTTTTGTGTTTCCATACTGAACACACTTTCCTGTTCTGCGGAACAGATGCTTAAGCAGTCTGTGGTGCTGCCTTGGAGGCTAGAACTAATGGAGCATGATTTCACATTTAGTATCTGGAAACTATCAGTGAAGGCTTGCTGTTCATAAGAGGGTGTGCTTTCGAGAGAGGTAGGATTTCTCCTGGTGCCATTTTCTAAATTCAAATGCAGTTGGAAAAGGTGGAGGTAAGAGAAGTCAAAGGAAGGAAAGGAGAAGTTTATTAAGAGCCAAATATCACAAAATAAAAATTAAAAATTAGAAATTGTACTTCATTCTGACTTTTACCCTGAGTGATTCTGTAGACTAAACTGCCTACCTGAACACTAGCAATAACAGAAAGACCATTTTTTTAGTGTGGTGCCCACTGAGTGCTGCTGGATAGGAATACTAGGTGTTGTGGACTCATAAATCTGGAAGGCTCTGAATTGAAGAAGGATGTCATGAAGTATTTTATGATCAGTCTCTAAAGTGGAAACACTATTCAGGATTTCATGCAAGAAGGTTTTCTTCAACTCTGTTTTTTAAAGCTTATTTAGCTGAAGATGCTGGAAATTAAACCCAAGTTCTTTTATAAAGAGAACACGCATTTTGTCACTAAACATGATACTCCTGATTGCAATTTTAGCATAAACCTTACTAATATATTGTGGTATATTGGTATATGAGACTGAGCCCTGAACCAGAAAACTACTTTATTTTGTCATAAATTAAGTAGGAAATTTGTCTCACCTTGTTTCATGCACTATAAAATAGTAACATAATTGATCAACCTGCTCAAAACTGCTTTAGGTTTAGAAGATAACACATGTGAAGCATTTTGGGAGATCTGAAGTGTTACAAAAAGGCTGCTTTCTGCTATGACAATTCCCAACAGTAGGAATAAAACATAAAATCCAATACTTGATTCCACATTTGAAATTGAAATATTCACATTTTATCCTTCTGCTTTAAAAATATATTGACTCAGTTGTGCAGATCCCATGAAACAAAAGACACTGAAAGCCAGCTAAAGCCAGGAGTCTAAAAAATCCAATCAGATATAAAATTTACTACCTAATTAAGACAGAATTACCTGTGCAAATGACAAGTGTAATCTGAATCAAAATAGCCTCAGCACCATATGCCAGGATCTAAAAAACAAGTGTACGGGGTAAACCAGCCAAACTCTTATCCTATTCATAACAAATGTATAAATTAATTCATTCTGAGATATGTAGATTAACAATGATAAAAAATAGTGTTAATTTTATAACTCATTACTCCTGTGACTGGAGTAATTAGATCTGACTGGAATTTTACAGGCTACATACAAAAGGAAAAAAGATAAGAATGTAACAATTAGTCTTTCTCATTAAGCATTTACCTGGCTTTTTCTTTTTCTTCTTTTTCACTTTGATCGGTTTTATAATCAGTTCCTGGTTGAAATCGTCTGAGCTGATCAGGCTCAACCTTTGTGAAATTTGTTGACCCTCTCTCTGTGTTGCTGATGACGTTTGATCCCCATTGGTCAAGGAACTGGAGCCACTCTCCACAGAATTCATAGAGCTGCTCCTGCTTCTTGATTCACTGACTACAGAGTAGCCTCTTCTTCTTGGGTCAGTGCTTAAGTCCCCTAGTCCATCAAAGCTCTGTGAGCGAATTTTCTGGGCTATTAATGCTACTTCCTGGTCAGCTCTTCCTACAAAGCCATTTTTTTCACTAGGTGTTTGGGGTGAGGAGAAGTTACTTGATTTTGGGTTTGCTTCTGGAGAGGGATCACATGAGACTGAAGCAATTACTAAATGTGGTCTTTCTAATTTTGGACTCAAATCAGATTCTAAGCTGGTCCAAGCTTGTGAATTCATATCTGAAATGTGACAAATTGATAAATATTAGATGGCAATTTACAGGAGCAAGAAAACACAGGAATGATTTATAAAATAGAAGTAGTGTAAAATGAGTGGCTAGAGATATCACCCTCCTCAAATGAGTACTTCTTCTCACAACAGGCATAGTTTATTCATAGTTTCTGCTGCTTCCATTAGCGTAAGATGTGTTTTTAAAAAGGATAAATTAATCTTTCACAACTTTGCTAGTCATGTTAACAGCAATAGATGTAAACAAATATGAAGGAAAGTACCTTACTTATACATTTCCTAGAAATATCCACCTAGTTATTGCCAACAAAGAATATTGGATAAGAGAAACATTTATATTATTTACATAATATCTGATGTTTTTCCTACAATGAATATGACAGTAATGAAAAATTGATTGGAGAAAAAGGTAAGAGCTAAGAACTAATACAGTATGAATAATAGGCAAACTCTTTCTAGTGCCATAACATTTTATGTAAAGTTCAGGTTAAAATCTTAAAACTGATCTGCCCTGGCAGGAACTAATTGTTGGTTACATTTAATATGATCTGGCAACATTATCAAGGAATAGTTGCAATGAGAAGGGTAACCATATAAAAAATAAAATAAAATCTATTCATGCTTTACTGTAAAAAAGGCTTTTTCCTCTGTGCCAATGACTAAATCATTTGACCTCTGAGAAAATGAAAGAAACAGTGGAGAGTTCTTAGCAATAATAGTGTTATCTCTAGTCACCTGCAACAAGTTAATGAAGAATTGTTTCCTAATAATGAGGTGCATATGAAGATTTATGGATGCCCCTTGCCTCTGACATTTGATGTTAGGTTTAAGAAATGGCTATTTTTGAGTGGTTTTACTGAATATAGCTTGTGTTGTTTCAGTATAGTTTTTATATTATGGTTCTTTTAAATTTTTCATTCTTTCTGTACCCTGCCCCTAATGAAAGAATACAAGAATAAGAATTTTCAGGACACAATCATTTTATATATATTATATATACTACTTAATATGCAAACCTATTGACACCAATCCTTCAGGCCTGCTTGAGATTCTAATGATATCTCTGTCTCCCTTTAAAAGGAATATCTCATTTTCGGTGCAGGATACTGATACTATATCACCACATCCTTCCAAACTTCCAATCATGGTCTGTGAAAACAAAGAAAGGAAAAAAAATGATAGGATTACATTAAGAATACAGTTCCTATTCCAGAGTTTTTATTTTTATTTATACAGCATTTTTTTTAAATCAATGGTATACAATCAACCACACCATCACTTACTTTAAATTTAAACCAAATACTTGTGCAACACTAATTCTGGGTCCCAAACTCAGCCATTTTAGTTTGGCTATGCAGTGAGCAGAACTGGTTTCCAACGCAGTTTCCAACTGCAGTATCAGGAATAATAAATTTCCATATATACTCGTGTACAAGCCCATCCACAGGTAAGCTGACCCTCAAAATTTTAATGTCCACCTGCAGATAAGCCAACTCAAATTTTTTGTGATATTTGGGTTAAAAAAATTGAAGATCTGCTTATCCGCAAATAGGCATATAAACAAGTATATATGGAAAATACAGGTACTTTCAAGAACCCAGCCTCCAGGAATCAGACAGGCAGCAGTGGCTTGGACCCTACCTGTCAGCTTCCCTACTGACCTTCTGGGGGAGACAGCAGGGAAGACTGCAAATAGCGATCCTATGATCACAGGGCTCCTGGCAATTTATCATCAGTGCAAATGAGTTGCCAAGCCCCCAGGTCACAATCACATGTAACTTTGGGCATCGGTTGGAAATCTCTTCATTGATTCACTGAAATTCTAATTTCAAATGGTCACTGAATGAATTGTCATTCATCCAGGATTACCTGTATATATAGATCTGGGTAATTGGAACTGATAAATATTATCTGAGATTCACTAAAATTGCTAGTCTTTTTTTAATAAAGAAATATATTTGCTTCTAATTGCAAGTTTTGGTGTCCTCCCAAAATAAAATAGTTTTCATATACATTCCCAAGTATATGAACTTGATTTTATATGAACTTGCAGCAGCAGACCTCATAGTAGTGGTGCCTCAAAGACTGTCACCTTTAATCCAGTGGTGAAATCTAAAATTTGTTACTACCGGTTCTGTGGGCGTGGCTTGGTGGTGGTGGGGTAATGTGGCTGAGTGGGCGTGGCCATTTTTTTTTTACTTTTAAAACCATTTTTTCTACAACCGCTTCGGCGAAGAGGTTGTAAAAAAATGCTTTCAAAAGGCTCTGATGATCCCAGCTAAATTGCCTGATCGGCAGAGACTTTTTTTCTTTTAAATGCCTCTGCCGATCAAGCAACTCAGCTTGGATCGTCAGAGGCACTTAAAAGAAAAAAACCCTTTTTTTCTTTTAAAAGCCTCTGCCGATCCAAGCTGAGTTGCCTGATCGTTAGAGGCATTTAAAAGAAAAAAAGGGTTTTTTTCTTTTAAAAGCCTTTGATGATCCCACCTGAGCCGTGCGATCATCAGAGGCTTTTTTTTTTTACTTTTAAAAGCATTTTTTCGGCCGAAGAGGTTGTAGAAAAAATGCTTTTAAAAGTTTAAAAAAAGCCTCTGATGATTGTGCAGCTCAGCTGGGCGGGGGGGGGGGGCAGGGATTTTTGCTACCAGTTCTCCGAACCACCTGCCTCCATCACTACCGAATCGGGAGATCCGGTCCGAACCGGGAGTATTTCACCCCTGCTTTAATCTGTTTTTAGTTTCCATGTATTCCATTCACTTCATTAGATACCTGGAATATAATCCTGGGAAAAATATACAAAATATATATTTTGAGGGAGTACAAGGATTTAAAAAGTTAGAGAAAATGTAGGAGGAAGGCTTTCTCCCCATATATTAAGTCTTAAAAAGGCTTATAATCTAATTGTGTAGGGAAAATAATTGAAAATTGTGTATTCATTTCTAGGAGCTACAAAATTTAGTTTGGGAACCTTATGCATCTTGCATGCTGCAGCCCAATGCAACACATTTCTTCAAATCGAGTTACAAAAAACCTCCAGTAAATCACAAGCCAAAATCTTTGCACGAAACATTTTTCACACGATTCCTTTCTGTCATATAACTATCTCAGAAACTAATTACAAATTCACTGCATTCTTACCTGGTTTACTGTATCTAACACATAAATGCTATATTCATTCCAGCTCAATACCCATCCTTCTTGGGAAAAGCAGGAAATGAGTCCAAACTGTCTTTCTGGGAAATTACAGCTGCTCTTGTTAAAGGAGTTCGCTCGGGGATATAATTCAAAAGGCTTCATTTCAGCAGCAAATACATCTTTCAAAAGATATGTGGCTTGAACCGTCCCATGAACATCTGATTTCCAAAGGCGAATCCCAGGCCTTGCAGCAAAGAGCATTAGGTCACTTTGCTTACGTAGCCCAGGTATAAAGCAGGCACCAAATTTGCCTGTACTAAAATATAAAAGAAAAACAATTATCAGTTCAGATAAACGTATTTGAGAATGGGGAAAAATTTTTTGTCATTAGGTGTTTGGGATGAGGAGAGTATTTTTAGTGAAGAATGAAATCATTGCTTAGAGTTGTTCAGATACACATGCTATTTCCCAAAATGGGAAGGGGGACTAGAAAAAGAAGGCAAAAAGATTTTAATCCAATTTAGGATAATAATAATATAAAATCCAAAAATGGATGAATATAACTCAGGATACTAAGGACTAATTGGACCTTCAGTGTGTTGCTTTTGGTATCAATGTACTGACTTTTTATGTGAAACAAATTATTGTTATAAAAAACCTCACATATTGTGAAGCAAAGTGCCATTCTCTAATATATGGATCATCTTTCAATAAATTTCATAAACATTCACAGAAATTTTTTTTTTAAATGTTCACTTTGCCAGATACCATATTTTGGTAAAGAAGAGGGGAGAGAGAGATTATTGTGATTTAACTGAGTTTTATAATTGATTACATTTATTAATCTGTGAATTAATAAATTCCCCAGCAGCCATTCTGTAAGAGTATTACAACATATTTTTGAAATTTCAAATGTGTCCATCAGCCCCAAAAGTCTAATGACACATTCTAATTCATGACAACTAGAAGTATCTTATATTTTCAGTTAAGCATGCTATTTTAAATACAAACAGTACATGAAATCATGCACCTTTTTAAAATAACAATTTTAAATATTTTTAAAGAAAAATATTTCACCACCTCTTAAGAATTCAACTTATTACTGTGAGTTTTAAATACAGACTTTCCTTCAAACCAAACCAAAATTTGATAATTACGTTTTTCTGGGTTGAGTTCCAACTTGTTTGACAGATTTTTCTTCAGTATAAAAAAGTACAGTTCGTTGTAAAGTAGAGATCAGCAACACTTTCTGGCTATAATCTAGCTGTACGATTGAAGATGGTTCTTCCAATATTAAACTGGAATTGCAAACACCCTAGAAAAACAGAAGATGGATACAGAATCCTCTGTTATATAATCAGAATTCAATACAATTGGCACTCACTGAAACCCAACTCACATAATTCATCTGTCACCATGTTGAAGGTGACGAAAGATATCCTCCTGGGCACAAGATAACAATATCCACATACTCCCTATTGTCCTATTGGTCAGAAGGAGATGCATGGTCCTCTCAGAACCACCATCAGACACAACTCAACTATAAAAAAAAAACCCCAGATCTCTCAGTAATAGATGTCCTACTCATTGGCTCCCTAGAGGCAGCTGGGTGACCACTGTGAGGAAAGATGTTGCTAGACTACATGGATCCTTGATCTGATCCAGCAAGAATCTGTACTCCAGGAATCAAATTTTGGAAAAGAATGTTTTAGTCAAGTAGCTACTCACCTGATCTAAATCCAAAGCAGAATAAACTATTTTCCCTCGGTCATCCCCAGAAAATAACTTCATTCCATTCGGACTCCATGCCAAGGCTGTAATGCTGCTTTTATGAAAACCAGACACATTAAATCTCCGAAGCTGTAAATAAAGACATCGTGTATCATCAATATATTGCATAAAAGAGACTGAAGGGGAAAAAGGAGGAAATATACATTGGATTGATTCATTAGTCTAGTTTACAAGTTGGTATTTCTCACTTTGACTATTTTGGTTTAACAGATACACCAAAAGTCTTTGAATATGTTAATTGAGAAAGGAGGGGAGGGGAGGGGAAAGAAAAGGAGGGGAAAGAAAAGGAAACTAAAAAACCTATTTTATTTGAAATCACTAAATATCAGATTTTTTTTAGATGTCTCAATTAAGGAATTACACACTTCCAAGAACAAGAACAAGTCTTGACTAGCACAAACTTCACATATGGTCCTTACTTGTTTGTTTCTCCCAGGTAATGAAGAAACAAGCTGAAAAATAGCAATCTTGCCTGAAACTGTTCCCACTGCAACAAGATCATCAAAGCAGTTTAAGAGTTTCACAATGGTAATGGATTCATTCTTCCCCTAATAAAACAAAAACAAAATAATGATTATGAAATGAAGAAATAAACTTGTTTCAGGTCAGGAGATACTATTTTTAAATTAGGAGTTGGACATGGTTTAAATACTATCAGCATAAAAAGAAAGAATTAAAAAAAGAATCTCAAAATGTTGATCTGACAAATGACTAGCTTGATTAAAGCAAGAGGTATGAAATTAGAAGTATAAAAAGTGGGCTGCAGTCATCATATTAATGACTCAGAACTTTTGTGACACATCTTTGTTTGGGTGAGGGTGAAAAGATTATGGATAAAAATATCTGCGAAATTGCACAATTTTAGGCATTATACTGCTGCTCCTAAAAGGTTTGTTTAGTTAGCCATGAATTTATTTTTAAGGCCCTTCTCCATTTCTGCAGCAGTAGATTTTTTTCATACCTTTTACATGAACGATTGCATTAGTTATAATATTACAAAATCTGAAAAGTGTTACTGCTGAATGTTAACAAAGATTTTACTTTAGCTTGCTGCTACTACCATCTGTTTTTAATTAATAGAATCGTAAACATATTATACCATAATGAAAGGAATGCTTTTGTTGTAAACTGTTGTTTGGACTCAATTCAAGGTGTTGGTTTTAACCTTTAAATCTTTATATAGTTTTAGAAGCAAACATCTCCTTCATTATGAACTTGTTCAGAAATTATGATTTATAAGCTTTTTGAAGACACTAGTATTCGTAAAGACACATTTTAGAGAAGGATCTTAGACAATCTGGATAGTTTTTGCTGTCTCTAAACTTCCCATTCTGGAGAGTATTGTTGGAAACGTGGTTTCTAAAAGGTCTGGAGGAAATAAATTATCTGGATTCTTTTCAGTTAGTTTAAAGCATATCATTGAGGCAGCACTAATCACACTTGTTAATGAACTCTGATGCAACTACCCTAGATTTTTCACTGTATCCTTCCAGAAGAATTTAAGAGTGGGAAACCCAAATGTTATAATGATTATCTTCCATTCCCCTTGGTGAGTGCCAGTCAGTGTTGATAAGAGGGGAGTGATTTAAGGTTTAGTTCTTTGAGGGACGTCTCTCTCTAGCTATTTCTCCCCATTTTATACAATGAAGTAGAGTTGGCATGCTCAGATCCCATCTATTAAACAATGTCACCTTGGGAGATCCAAGATTCAAACAGTCCTTTAAATGAACCTTGAAGATCTGGTTCTTTCCCCGAGCTTAAGGCTACAACAGATTCTGGAAATTCTTTGCAAGGGGCTCTTATATCTGTTCCCATATGATGATCATCTTCCTTTTCTATTCTCTACTGTTCTAGTTCTTTGGTTCTCTCTCTCTCTCTCTCTCTCTCTCTCTCTCTCTCTCTCTCTCTCTCTCTCTCTCTCTGTGTGTGTGTGTGTACACAGGAGAAAAGGAGAGACAGAGAGAGGTGCTCTGTGTGTGTATGTAAAGAAAACCAAAGAATTAGAACTCTGTGTGTGTGTGTGTCCAGTCACTGAAATGTTGGGTGGCTTTAAAAAAATGTGTCTTAAAATGTATTAGTGCTATGAGGATTTTATTCTCCCACTATGAAAAATCCCGTACTCTGCAGATACAATGCAGTAGAAGAACAAATATGTCTTCATGGGGGGGGGGGGGTGTTCATTCACTTTTGTATGAACAGAGCTACTCTCCCAATTGTTTTCAATATACTTCACTGTCCTCAGCTGTGTAGCAAATAACTACAGATACTCAGAATAGCAATAAAGCAATGCTCTGAGGCAATCATGAAAACCATCTGAATTAGTTTTCCACTTAAAGAGCAAGTACAATTTTCTGTGAGCATTAGTTTTCCAGGCAGCAAATGTTGCAGAGTTCTAAAGAATCACAGAACATGTATTAAACTTGATGTGCTAAAGAATCATTTTAATATTCCCACTGCTCTCAAAAATGGTAATACCACTGGAAGATTCAGCCACCTTTAGGTCACATATCCATGACAAGAGGACAAATAAAATTCACCTACCCCCACTCATCCCCAAGGTAGTCCTTGACTTATGATCACAATGGAACCCACAATTTCTGTTGTTAACAGTTTGTTAACACTTAACAATTTGTTAAGTGAGTTTTGACCCATTTTATGACTTTTCTTGCCATAGTTGTTAAGTGAATCACTGCAGTTGATAAGATAGCAACATGGTTGTTAAGTGAATCTGGCTTTCCCACTGACCTTGCTTGTTTGACAGTCGCAAAAGGGGATCACAAGACCCTGGACACTGCAACCGTCAAAAAAATGAACCAATTGCTAAGTATCTGAATTTTGATCAAATTAATACGGGGATGCTGTAAAGATCATAACTGTGAAAAATGGTCATAAGTCACATTTTTCAATGCCGTTGTAACTTTGAACGGTCACTAAACAAACTGCTGTAAGTCAAGGACTACCAGTACAGCATATATTCCATTGCTGTCATTTACTTTAGAAACAATTGCTTATGAGAAAAATTGTATATAAATGAAGTGATAGTAATGAACAGTATAGCTTATGAATGAAAACATAAATTTAGACAATAAAGAACAAATTTGCCTTAAGTATTTTTCAGGGTATAAATCAAATACAAGTTAACTTAAAAAGACTGAGTACAATAACTACAATAAAAATAATTTTTAATCTTGTTTTAAAAAGACCACAGCAACTTACTTAAAAGAATTTTGGACTTTATGGGTTTACCTATTTTTGAGATGGAAGCTAAGTTAACCAAACAACCTAAAAGACAGAGATATGACAATATTAAAATTTGTTCTTACCTCAAAATTGTATTTTTTCATCTGATTCAAATGCCTGCAATACAAATACAGCATGCCAATACTGCTGCCGACCGCTATGTAATCCTCATTAGTGTCAAGTGCAGTCAAGTAAACCACAATGGAACGAAATCCTTTTTGGATTTTTGTGGGAATGGCATTGAGAAGGTAGTACAAGGGGCAAAACTCCTTGAAGATAAATGATGGTATCACTGATGCCATAGTAAACACAGTGCACTACCTATAGACTAGAAAAGATACATTTCATATACTCTTGTAGCCCATGAAAAAGAAAATTTTTAAGACCCCATATTATAGAATTCTAGGGATGTGCAAAACTATCAATTTGGGAATGAAACTTTTTGGAGAACTCCAGAACTTTGTGCTTTTCCTTTGGACTATGATGAACCTCTTTTAGACCACACCATCCCAAGTATGAAAAATACATCCAGAAAAATGTTTTGAGCACTTCAAACTGCTTCTAATTCAAAGGATTTATGTTTGGAAATTGCCAACCCACTTCCTGGAATATCGTGCTTTAGAAGAGGTCAGCATGTCTTAGAGCCAGATATATACAGTAAATATATATTAAATATCCATTATAAAAAAATGAAAGTTCAAAGTACTGTTCTTTGCTGAAAAGAAGGCATATCTCACTCTACATATTGGCATGCTAATATAAGTCAAGTTATGCATTTTCACTTGACAATTACCTTATGCAATATGGCTTGTAAGATTTAATAAACAATGGTTTAATCCTCTCCTGGTTTAGGAATTAAATGTATTTCAGGACTTCTTATCGTTGGGAAAACAGATGAATTTAAAAGGATATATTGTAATTAACAGAGCTTTATATAGTTTCAAGTAAGGTAACTTTTTTTCTTCCATTAAATTTTGTCCAATTCAGAGACTGTCTGCTAAAGTTCCTGCAGTTTTCTTGACAAAGAATTAGCTTGCTGTTGCCTCCTTCCTAGGGCTGAGAGAAAATGACTAACCTAAAGTCACCCAGCTGGCTTTGTGCCTCAGGCAGGACTAGAATTAACAGCCTCCTAGTTTCTAGCATGATGCCTTAACCATATGCCAAACTGGTTCTCAAAGTACCGTGTTTCCCCGAAAATAACACCATCTTATACTTTTTGAACCCCGAAATAAGTGCTTGGCCTTATTTTTGGGGAGGTCTCATTATTTTGGGGTGCATGGAACAAGACAGGACTTCTCTTGCCATCTTACCTGATTTCCAGCTCTGTCTCCCTAATCCTAACCTGAGCAAATGGCGGGGACTGACTGCACATGCATTTAAATATATTCGGGGAGGGCTTATTTTTGGGGAGGGCTTATTTTCAGGGGGGCTTATTTTAGCACATGCACTCAAAAGCCTGATAGGGCTTATTATCAGGGGATGTCTTATTTTCAGGGAAACAGGGTAATACAAAACCTTCTAAAATTACATGTTAATAATAAATATAACTATAATGGATATTTCTAAAAAAGATTCCAATATGGAATAGACACAGGACTTTTTTCAAACAAATGCCCTTAAAAGTTTTAACATTTTACTGGAACATGTATCAGAAGTGAATAGGACACAATTGAAAGGAGGAAAAATAAAGTCAAAATATCCTCTGATCTTCTAAGTCCAGTTCCTCTAAAGTAGGATACTTCTCTCCAGCAGACTTTACTTTCAACTTCCGCCAAAGTAGACAGTTTATTCAATGGATCTAAAATATTTATGTGTACGCTTCCTTAACAATTTGCCAGAGTGCGCAGGAACAAGAAGGCCCACAATTGTAGTTTTCCCTAAGATAACTGATGAAATTACAATACGATTCACAAACATACAGTAGATACAGCTCTAATGAGATATACAATTTGTCCATTTTGTATCTGTGCAAAAGCAGAGTTTTAATTTTAAATTTTATTTTGGAGTCTTTTTATATTTAAGAATGCAATTTCATTAAAAATGTAGGACCAAACTTATAAAAATAGAAACCATTGTCAACAAAACGTCACAATAATTTAGCTCCTCTCCATTCACTTTTAACTCCATTCACTTTGGTTGTACAATTTTTTTCACAAAACGTGAAATTAGGAGGACAGTGAGCGAAATATCCTGCCAGAACTTTAGATCAGTGAAAAATGATCTATCAGGAGACAATAATGTATTAGCAAACACAGTAAATTGATGATGTGTTGGTTTTGAAAAATAGGAGCTAAAATGGAGGGGAAATCCAGCACTTCAATGGGCACTTTTCTGAAACCAAAAGGTGTTGAACTCCCCAATTTTCACCAGCACCTGAAGGGCCCTTTTGAGGGGCATTTCCAGAGTAGGCCAACAAAACACCGTTTAGTTTTAGTTACAGCTGGCAAAATCCGCTTCCACGCGTTTTTAATGTCAAGCCTCTAACAGAGACCCATGTCAGTCTTTTGAGCAAGTGCAGTTGCAAGTGCAGTG